GGAAGAGGGAATAAATTAGGCACAAAAGGAAAGCTAATAGAAGCATCCTTTCTGAGTTGACCATCACGGTAAGACACGGTTGCTTTGTTGTCTGGAACCTTCTGGGAAGCTTTACAGAATATTCTTGAGACCCTTCATCTTGCCAGAGAGAGAAGGAAACGTGTGTCCATCAGCTCTCACCTCCCATTTCTGGTTGCTCCTGTGTCAGTGACAAACCCACTCCTGAGCTATCCTGATCCAGGAAGGGGTTCAGGAAGCTTGGAGCAGAATTCAGTCATCACTGACTACAAGGTTCTGCTTTCATACAGTCTCAACTGATTTCTCTAGCTCATTCTCAGAACTGTAGCCCGTTGAGCTCTTTTCTTTTTCACTTTGAAGTCATTTCTCTTTCACTTTGAAGTCATTTCTCTTGTCCCCACCTTGGATCACTGCAAATGGTTTTCCTATTGCCCAGAACTTCCCACTGTCAGTCTGAGTGATTTCTATTCTTCTTTGACATCATATCTCAAATATCATTTATACTAGGAAGCTCTCCCTGACGTTCAGCACAGGTCCAATTCACTTGTGAACGTGTGAGGCTGTGTCAGTATCAGTCTGTATACATGTGAGAATTTAATTGGTATTTATTTCTCTGGCTGGCTTACAAATTCCATGAGAACATAATTCACTTTCAGTTTTTCTCACCATTATATTCTCTGCACTGAGCTTTGTATATTTACTAAACATCTGAAAAAATGGTTTGGGGAACAACAGGTATTAAAAGTACTATTACCATAATAAGTACAATTATTTGAAGAATACTGAAGAGTCCTCACACTTGAATACAAGAAACTTCATGGGTCTACAACAAAGGTAGATGCAATTCAGAGTCAGATCTGTCACACAGCCCCACTTAACTACAATGTCCTGCGAAAATGTGCTGTAGTCAAGTGCCAAAGAAGAAAGGGACACAAGTCTGATGAGCATTTGTCATAGTCTGTCCCCTGGAATACTAAATATCTGTTCCTTATTCCCTGAAAGACCATACGCCTCCTCTCTCCCCAGGAGAGGACACAATGTTGTCTCAGGAACTGCACCTGAGTCCAGGATGTCTGGCTGATTTCTAACCTCCATCAGATCCGGGCGTGGTTCCTTATGCTGCGGTAACCAAATACAAAGTTACCTCCAGCTTCTCCCAGAAGCACATGATATGTTATAACAGGGTAGAGAAGAGGAAATCCTTAGTAACACTCCATTAGTGAAAGGGAAGAAAAGACGGCACACAGCAGTCACTCCTTGGAATAAAGTACAGGATCCTGCTGGGGAGTCACTAGGAAGATTCCCTGCAGAAGTTATCTGAACAGATGATGCTTTCCTGGTAGGCACCCTTCTTTGTATTTGTTGTCCTTGTCATTGCTCTGGTTCTAACATCTTCTTTGGTATTTACCCCTTTTCTTAGTTGCTTCATGGTTTGAGATAATTAATTAGGTTCTAAAAAACATATCTTTCTATTATTTTTGGTACAATGTTAAGTCTTAGTGGATATCTGTTCAAAACTAAAGGCCAAAAACCTGGTGTTTCTCTGGGTTCTTTCATCTCTTGTTATGAATTAGCTAGTACTTTTCTTGGTTCGACTTATTTTTATGATACCCAAAGGCAATCAGAAATCACCAACATATTTTTGAAATATTGTTTCCTAACTTCTTCACATAAAGCTACAAAGCTCAACAATCTCACAGACTATATTTTAACTTATTCCTGGTGTCAATTTTGCCATCTCTACACAAGTTTTACCATCTTTACATCTCCAGTCTTCTAAATGGCTACGTATTTCACAAAAGCAAATGGCTCCATGAGGCCTCTGAATGGAAACCACTAAGCCAATGCCAGAGCTCTTCCCTGTTCCTGATACATTTTTACCCTTGAGCAAGTCTGCATCACTCTACCTCTCTAATGTCTATACCCACCCCTCAGTTCTACCTCCACTACCCCTGCATCAAAGGGTGCCATCCTTTCTCACATGAGTCAGTGTCTTCTCACTGGTCTCACTGCCTCACAAACGCATTCCTAGGCCAGCACCACTCCCAGTAAACATTCTACAGTGAAAGTGATCACTGCAACTGTTCTTGAAACATTTGGGTGGTTCCTATACTTTTAGATTAAAATTATTAAAGAGATTCAATGTTCTTCAGTCTCTAGTCTTACTGTTCAGTCCTCATGTCCCAGGTAGGTAATGCCATTTTAGTTCTCTCAAATACGCCATAATCAGATGTTTATCATCAGCTGGATAATAGTTCCTCTGACAAGAGCGACATACTCATTCTTCAGGATTTACCTGCTTTAAATTTCCTGGGAATCCATCCCTGACTTCTCAATCTAAAAGACAAATCCTCCTACTGATTTCAGAGCAGCTTGTTCCTTGAATGAGTCACACTATATTCTAAATGTCTATCTTCCTTCATCCCACAGCATACAAACTACATACTTCACGTAGCATGCCCTCAGTTCCTCTAGACTTCATATGACAAATAAATGGATGCTGTCTGAACAAATGCATGAACCCACAATTTCAGGATGATACTGACCTCCCACCACAAGCTTAAATCCTAATCTACCTTTCTCTTAAGTGCCAGACCTTCTTTTCCAACTTTCTAATGGCTATTTCCACTTGCATGCCTGCTTAATAGTTTTAAAAGAAATTTGTTAACGTATCCCATCCTTTTCCTCACCTGCTTGATATGTTTTCGCTTTGCCATGTTTTGAATGTTTGTGTCCCACACAAATTCATGGTGGTAGCTACTACCTAACCTGGTATGATTGAAAGGTACAAGCCAGGCATGATGATGAATAACTGCACTCCCAGCTCTCTAGGCTGAAGCAGGGGGATCATAAGTTCAAGCCCAGCCTGGGCAACTCAGAAAGATCCCGTCTTGAAACAAAATACCATTTAAAAATAGGGACTTTGGGGCAGTCATTAGGTTATTAGGGACCCACCCTCATGAATGAAAGTCACACTCTTATAAAAGAGGCTTAAGAGAGCTTCCCAACCCCTTTGCTTCCTGTCCCCTTCTACCATGTGAGAACAGAGCTTTCAATCCTTCAGAGGATGCAAGATTCAACACACCTTAGACGCCGAGCTCAGGATTTCATCAGACACAAAACTTTCTGGTTCCTTAATCTTCACTTTTCCAGCATCCATAATGTGAGCAACAAACTGAAGCCACTTTACATTACCTCATCTCAGGAATTTTGTTACTGCAGCATTAACAGCCTACAACACACCTTGAATTGCGACCTCAACTCAATGATGTCCATCTACTTTTCCACTCTAAAAACCTCAATATCTTCCTCAAGATCTGCATTTCATTACATGGTAAGTTGTTTCTTCAAAGACCTTTTAATTCACCCTGAAATAATTCTCTAGTTCTAAATTACCTGATATATTTTTTAAAAATCTCTAACCTCAACAGTATTTATTGCCAGAATATGAAAAAAACAAGTATTCAACAAACAGATTTCTGAAGTATTTCTCATAGCTTTCAATACATTACTAATAAATAGGAATCTCTAAGAAGGAAATATAATGTGCATATTTTTTCAAATTTGTCTGACCAACAAACATTATATTAAGTTGAAGCACTTAAGACTGCTGTTTGGGAGATTATACTTGGAGAAATGCTGATTTGATAAACTCTCTATTCCACACTTCATTCTTCACTGCTCCCTAACACAGGCCCCTGCCATCCTTCACCGGACTCTCTTTCTCAGACAGCCCTCCTTCATCTCTTCATTTTGTCACTCTCCACACTGTCTCTGCTGCTATTTTTCTAACAGAAATATCTGCTCATACTTCCCACTGTCCTCACCCACAGCTTTAAAATCACTACTGGCTCTTCACACGTACAAATTTAAGCCTGCCTGTGTTCTGTCAGAATCTAGCCCCACACATCGTCCCAACTCCATTTCCTACCACACTGCCCTTTTCCCAAACTATATCATGATCTTTCACCTTTCAGATCTTTAATACAATTTGGCTACCAATGCTCAACATGGTCTCTGTTGTTCCCACCTGGCCACTAAACAAACTTCTCTTTAAAATCTATTAGGAGTGATGAAGGGAGGGCAGGGACAAGGAGAAAAAATGAGAACCAAGACCTGTCAGGTAAAGGTACAAGATCCCAGTAGTGAATGGAACTGTACAGTATACCTAGATTGTACCAATAAACTCCATAAAAAGAAAAAAGAATCTATTAGGAGTGAGATCTCCTCTCATGAATACTCATTCTGATCCTTGCTTTTCCCTCCGTTTCCATAATGCTTTGCACTTACCCCCTATTAGCACAATTACCACACTGTAGAATAAGATTACCTTGTATTTATCCCCACGATTACTTTCTGAGCCTCTTTAAGCTTTGATTCCCCAATTCCTAATAGTGCCTGGCACAGATGAAGTACTTTTTGTTGAATAAAAAACTACAAATAAAGGAATTCATAAATAGCTTTAGAAATAACTATGAGGAAAAAATTAAGATGTGACTTTGAAAAAATTAAGATATAACTAAAAGTTGCTATAAGGAGTCATTTATTCAAACCAGAACTGTCAGGAAAACCACAGCACCTTTCTTAAGACCCCAGTTTCTACCTTACTATGTTTCTGATAAAGAACATACCTTACCAATCATTTGTCTTTAGAGAAAACCCACAGCTCCCAAAATCTGTTTAGAGCTTTGAGGGAACATACTTATACACAGGTTGCCTGCCCCACCTACCTCAGCCAAGAGAATTCAGGGCTAAACACAGGACTTATCTAGCCACAGTGAAATAAACCACCTCAGGATTTCACACAGCCAGTTTTTGTTCCTGCGTCCCCTTTCCCATTAGGACGGTCTCTTCTCACTGCCTGGCATTCCCCAAAGGTTAGCAGCCTATTGGCCGCACCTCTTCACCTTCCGTGACAAAGAAATTCCATTACACTTTTGCTTGTTGGTTCTCCAAGTTTCTTGGCTCCACTCCAATCTTACCTCTGGTAATAAGATCTGCAGAGCAGACTTTTTCTTTTATATTAAAACAGTGTGGTTCCTTGGAAGAAATTTGTCCTCGTGAAGGCTCCTCAGAAGGTCGAATTTTGGAGCACTCCTTGGCAATACGCCGGAGTGCTGCCCGGTGTTCTTGGATCACATCAGCATCAGCTGTTTCCTTTTTCTTAATCTCCAAAGGTACGTATTTGATAGATTTGGGTTTTTGGTGTTTATTCCTAAAAACATTTATAGAATGAACTTGAACTTTATTCTATAAACAGAACAAAAATAATTTTTAAATTAATTTTATTATTCAAGTTATGTTCCACTTCAAAATAAATGTTAGTTTTAAAACAATAACTCAAAGTCCATTTCTAAAATAGGAGTTTTCAAATAGACATATAGGAATTTAATTATATTCAGTCATCTCTGAAGAACTCTTAAATGTCTATAAAATGCTAACATTCCCAAACCTTTCCCTCTTCTAAATTGGAAATGAGCAAGCATACATTGAGGAAAGCTCTGATGAAAACAATATTGTTAATGGGATATATATTGCAAATTGATTTAATCATTTAATTTCTTCCTAATTTTGATGATCATGAACAAGAGAAAACAAATGCAGCACCATGTCTTTGACAGGTAATTATCCAAACAATTATGACTGCTCTACAGAAAGAGCTATTACTCTTCAGCCCTCTCCCTAATAAAAATGCTTTGAAAAATTCAAATTATTGCCAGTTCAAATTCCTGTCAACTCAAAATTCCCTGAGGGTTTTGGTACCCTGGTATCATGTTTAGCTGGGCAACTTGAGACAGAATATTAGGCTGTTGCAAGTAGACCTTCTTAAAGCTGGTCAAGTGTCTAAGGCACCTGTGTCTACCTCTGAACACTGTGAACCGTTTCTTCCATGTGCCTGTTTGGAAAATTAATACAATTGAAAATAATTTTAAATTTCCTAGAGAAAAAAATCAGTCAAGTGATGTTCACAATGTTGATTACAAGATTAAAAACACCTATGGCCAGCAGCAGAGGTGGTGAACCTATGGCACAGCCACTGCAGCCCACTCTTTGTATCACTGAAAGCTCTAAGAGGTCTGCCACCACTGAGAGGGTCATTCACAATGACAGAAGCAACGATCAAAATCCCCCTTCCCACCAAAAGAAAATGTGGAACCATTTATAATCGTATTTGAATTCTGTCAAAATTTTTAAGTATTCAAAAGGAGATTAAGTCAAAGTCTATCTCCAGATGGGGATTTAGCTCAGTGGTTCCGCTGCCTGCCTCGCAAGTGCAGGTCCCGAGTTCAATCCCCGGTATCAAAAAAAAAGAACTTATCTCGTACTAGGATTCATGCAATCCTTTGGAACTACCATGGTAGTACACAAAAAGTACTTATTATTAACTAATAATTAGCAATGTTATATAAATATAAAGTATTAACCTCATTTATTTTCTCATAATGTTGAGCAATAAGACTTTTTGCTTCTTGAAGAAAATCCTGCCTTGTGATCTCTAAAGTAGGACCTAAAATAGAAACAGAGAAACAACTTAACATTTTTTAAATGTAGTTATTTATACTTTCTCAATTAAAATTATTAAACTAAAATTTGGGAAGTGTTATGAACCTTGCAGGGTATTATAAAAAGTGAATTTTATAAGTAGATACAAGTGGATGTAAAATAATATTATGATTCTTTAATATAATATTTTGCTATTTAAAAGGAAAAATCCACCTGTAATTGTCATGGTGATTAGATTTTCCTAAATTATTAAATCCCAAGGAAGCCAAAGCTCAAATATCCATCTCTCTTGAAAATTCTGAAAATATTATTTTATAGAAGGTACAAAAATATATTTTGGGCATAAAATTTTTTAACAAGTTTCTTTATATTTCATCAACAATATTTACCTTACAGTTTGTTGATAAAATCATACTGCAAAATAAAATACCTCGATACATTTACTAAAAAGGAAGTGATATAAGGCAAAATAAAAAATATACACACACCTACTTATAAGTAACATGACTTATCTCATCTCTATTTTTTAAAGTTTCTTAATCTTTTAACCCAGGTTAGCTACAGAATTTTGTAGCATGAACACTGCAATATCATTCTTATTTAGTCCTGTCTAAGTTTTCCTCTTTATGTATTTCTTTTATTTCTAGCTGATTCTGATATTTATAAGAGTATATGGGGGTCCTCCTCTTCATCTGAACTCAGTGAAATTTAAATATATTACCGATTCAGCTTAGCCCTCAGTCTGTTCAGTGGGCTCATTTCTCTAACCCTACTCTTTCAGCACTCTGACAACCAAGGTCTCCTCTCTTCTTTTCATCAACTCACATTTTAAGCATCAGAAGCTGTATCTTCATGCCAAAATCAAAAGCAAAACCAAAATCATGGTGAGATGATTCCACACACACCCACCAAAATAATTAAAGATGGATAACAAATTTTAGGAAGCTTGTAAAATTATTGAAGCCCTCATGTGCTGCTGGTAGAAACATAAAAAAGAAAAATCAGGTTGAAAAGGTCCAACAAATGACCCAGCATTACCATTTCTAGGTATGTACCACAGAAAATGGAAGCATATTTACAAAATTTTGTACAAGAATGTCCACAGCATCTTTACTCATAAAGTGGAAATTGCCTAGATGTGAATCAACAATAGAATGGATAAACAAAATGGACTGATAGAACAAAAACGGCTTAGCTACCAAAAAACAGAAAAAAAAGAACCCAACTATTGACATGTACAACATGGAAAATTTTCAAAAACATTATCTCAAATTAAAGCAACCTTAAACCTAAAAACATATATCATATGTTTCCACTTATATGAAATTATAAAGCAAACAAAACTAATCCATGATAGGACCAAACAGATCAGTGATTCTTCTGCTAAATGGTATCAAGGATTAACTATTAATAAGGAACATGAAAGAAATTTCTGAGATGACAGTAATGTTCTACACCTTGAGAGTGTATGGATTACACAGGGACATGCAATTTACAGAACTCAAGGAGCATATATCTAAGATTTCTGCATTTCATTTTACATAAATTTTACATTGCAATTTTATAAGTAGCTATATATTCAAATTTTGGTTATAGCTAAGTGTTACATAGTTAAAGAAAAATATAAGCAAATACTGACTTCAGACTAATACAGATGATGAGTGGAGAGGTGACCAATCAAGTACAGCAAAGCATTACTGGTAAGAATTGGGTGATGACTGCACAAGTGCTGTTTTAATATGCTTTCAAATTGGCTATGTTTAAATTTTCACAATAAAGTATTATTAGGGTAAAATTTCCTCTTCATTCCTGCACAAAATAACCCTTTGCTTCTCACCATGGAGACTCATGGGCCACACATAACTGTTATAATGTGAGTCTCGAAAAAAAGCCTGTGAGAGGGACTCTAGCTATAAAGGAATGGGATGCCAACTCTCATCCACGCTGAGTGAGGAGCGGAAGTGCATTTAAAACCCTTTTCAAAGCAACAGAACTGGTGTTGGCCATCTACAGGTATTCTAGAAAGGACACCTCCTCTTGTTCTCAGTGCTTTACCACAATTGTCCACATCCATAACTACATATTCCAAGGGTACTGACTGGTGGAGAGTTTTCCTTCTACTCGATAAACAATAGCTGTCAAGACTTCGTGCACAGGTTTCTTTGTACAGAATGGAACACAAACTCACGTGTAAATTACAAAATGATTCATGTGGATTTTCCAGTTCAATGCCATAAGAGTCACTGTCCTCAGGTGGAAGAGACAGGAGTTCAGAAATTGAACTGTCGGTTTCATCAGGTGTTAACCAAATTCTAAATCTGCTTTGAGGAGGCCTCACCAGAGCACTTCCTTCCTGCAGGAAAGGCAATGAGATATTCCCAAGTGTGAATCCACAACTTGTCCTGTTTTTCTTCCTTTCATGACAGTCCTATCCTCTGTGAACTGCTGTCTTTTGACTAACCGAATCTTCCTTATAATTACTTTAAAATTACAATTACTTACAATAACAATATTGTCATGCACCATGCATGTGACAAGCAATATAATAAAACGTTATGTTGTTGTTTTTGTTGAAACTGGGGCTTTGTAAGTCCATCAGGTCTTTTTCACTCAAGGCCATAGAGAAGATCCAGTCTTCCTGCACAGATGAAGCTGAGATGCAGAGGGTGGGAGTGCCTTCCAAAGCTGCACACCTCTACTGCCAGCCTGCATAGACTCTGCTCTCTTGAATCCCCTGTTGTCTTTTCCACCCATCTGCTGCTATTCCTGAGGCCGTATACTCCCTGGGAGGACTAGAGATTCCTGACACTTGGCTGATCACCCTGTTGAAGTAACATGCACTGCCACTCATTTTCAGCCAGTGCTCCTGAACCCTGTTGTCATTTAATGTGCTGATGGAGCTGATTTTCCCTTCAGTAACCAAAAATAAGCTTTTGACAGAGGAATTAAGTTTGAAAGATACCATTTTCTTCCTAGTTGATCTTTTGAGTTGAACAGTGCGCCCAACCACAAGTGCCACCTGTCCTCTGGGAATTCATGCAGAAGCTCATGTGCAGCCTGGCAAACCTGAGGGCCTTTGTGGTGCCAGCAGGCAAAGTCAGACACTTTGAGGTCCTCTTATGGGGCATTTGCAAAATCAGACCATGAGCTTCATGGATCGAACAAGCCCTGGCACTGCTCAGAAAGGAACAGAGAAAGACAGCCACAGTCAGATGCAGCGGTTTCACAGGGATCTTGCCAGCAGCTCCAGTGAAGGCCCGTAACACAGTCTTTTACCCTTGTTGTCAAGTGACATGCAAGGCAGCTCTTCTGATTTCTTCTATAAATAGTCAGTCTTGAAGAAAAGCATTAAATTCCCAAGGTGGTACAAGATAATGTATAACTCAGTGGATTAGAAAAGGCAATGCTAGTTTTTCTCTTTAGTTTTAAAATATCCAAAAAGTATTCATATTTTCAATAAATGAGTATAAAAGTATTAGAAATTAATCAACCCAGGCACTAAGAATCCATCCACCTAATAAGATTTGAGGCTTCTGCTTCTCTGTTCACAAAGATATATATGCATACTTCTTTATGAATGCAACTTTTTATACTCGAGTGAACACTACAAATTACTAAGAGGAAGTTACCAATGCCTACCCCTTCTCCATTAGGACAGTTATACTTAGGGCTTTCTTTATTTGTAATTCCATACCATAGAATGATTAAGAGTTCCCATTCCTAAGTCACACACTTGTGTTTGAATTCAAATTTGCTCAAGGACCTGACTTTATCTTCAGCCTACTTTTCTCATTTGTGAAATAAGATTAGCAATAATTTATACCACAGACTTAAGAGAGACCATTGAGACACTAAAACATAGCAGTTAGCACAGGGCCTGGCACATAATAAGCTTTTAATAAGTGTGTCCAATTATTGTTACTATTTGTGTTCATGAATAGGTTGAAATGGTCATATTAAGTTGACCTAAAACAATTATTAACATTTCCAAGGGGGAAAAAGATGTGAGTGCCTCTAATCTCAAGAGTTTTCACCAGTCTAAAATAATTCTTTACATTTTAAACAAAGACACATTCTCTATATATCATCAGTTTAATGTTATAGCTGTGATGGTTCATAAACTGCTGCTTTCTCTTATTGCTTTAGGGGTATTGCTCCAGTAAACCTCTGAAGTGATGATACAAACAGAAAATCTAACTACACAGAGTATGACAGGGAATGAGTCATCTCTGGATAATATTCATTGAGAAATCCTGCAATCAGAAAGGACCAGGGGCTTGCAAACATGTGTCTGTAATAACCTTAAGAAATAACTGGGCACATTCAGAGGGTTTCCGTCTTTCCCATTGAAAGACTGAATTCTCCAGAGAGGCACTGCAAAAATTTGCTAAGAATATCATCCTAAACAAAGATGTGACCACGGGGCTCAGGCCGTCCTTATGTGCAAAGTCAGAGTGAATGCCTACCTGTGTCTCAATGGGACTCGTTCCACAGGTGCTCATTATGTACCTGGTAAGGGCTAGGTGCTGTTTGACCGAAAATGTGCTAACATCAATAAGATACTAGATCCTTATCCCTATCTTCTAGGTGCTGAAGGGTCTACTGCCAGAATATTCTGTAAATAAATGTCATGACGTTCAGTAAGAAACATACTATAATAGAAGATAGCATAAACCACCAAAAACCACGAGTTCTCTCATGTTTGAATTTCCCTTTAAAGAGATAAAACTTTACATTATATTATTAGAGATAAGGTTTAAATCAGAAATGTCCCAAGAGAAATGACATAGTGAATCAAATCCAGGCTTAGGCAGTGGCTTTAAATCTGTGCTTCATTACTCTCACATGCCTTGAGGGTTCTTCCTTCTTTCAATCAGAGCAGCTCAGGCCTCCTCTATTTTATATATCGGAGCTCTTCCTAAATTTTAATTTGCAGGGAAGAATTCCTTCCTCCTGTTCCTACACCCAACAAGTAAAAACAAACTAAAGTTTGAATATAAAATCTCTAATGAGATATTCCTTCAAAAACAATCTCTTTTTCTTTTTTTTTTTAGTTTATTGGTACATTTTAGGTAGACAGTACAGTTACATTCATCACTGGGATCTTGTACCTTTATATGACAGGTCTTGGTTCTCATTTTGTCCCCTTGTGCCTGCCCTCCCTTCATCCCCTCCTCCCCTCCCCATTTACAAACACTTTATTTCCATCTTTTCATTTTCTCACATTTTTTTCTTTTCCCTTATTACCTTTCCCCTACGCTTCCCACTTTCCCTACACCTTTAGCCCTTTTCTTCCCATTTCACAATGTCAGTTATCTCATTAGGATCTTATGTACTCTTACAGTTTATTCACATCAGAGAAACTATTCAGTATTTACATGTGTGACTTATTTATTTCACTTAGGAGTGTATCCTCAATATGTATCCATTTTCCTATGAATAAATCTAATTTCTCAAGCAGGTTCAGATGGAGGGAAGGCTCAGAACATCAAGGAGTTGGGGAGGAGCTGTACAGAGCAGCGGGAGATAGGATGAGCTGGAACTATGGTGCATAGTTCTAGGGTAAAGAGTTATGTAAGGTGGAGAGTGAATAGAATCGCTCAACAAAAACTTGAAATAAATGTTAATGTTCAATTTATTCTTACATGTAAGTGAAAAAAAATGAATTGTTTCTAATTTATTTTCAAAAAAGAGTTAAAGAATGAAAGGAAACCCAAGTTTAGATGGGCATATGGTTATCAACAAATTTTTTCTACCATGCATTCTGTATTAAGACCCACCTCTTCAGTTCCACATTGAAGGTACTTTGTTGGATAGTCTCTTTCATATACTTTTCCTCGTTTCTCTTTTCTATTCCTGGTTTTCTTTAGCAAACTATCTACTTTCTAGGCTACAAAAATGACGAATAAGTCCATATAGACTGCACAGAAGTATTACAGTACACACCACTATCAGATCCTCTCTGTGTTACTTCTCTGGGGTTAGATGCTAAGAAAGTGTAGGGGAATTCCAAGCCTGTAGCATTGTAGCTTCAAATATAATTTGAGTAAATACGGACATGATCTAAAGGCAAAAATGAAACTAGAGAACATTCTTCCTTTAGTTCCTGGATCTTCCTCCCCACCAAACTTTTCCATCTTAAAAATGTACTGTATTAAGCAACTGAAAAGAAACAGTATTGCACAAACAACATTTACTGTATTATACAAATGAAATGTATTATTTGTATAACACAGTACTTTGGACAAATGGATGTCAGGTGGCCGATGCCACCTTGGGGGGGCCACAAGAGCCAACAAGACATAGCAGAGGAATAATAACCTCAGTTATGTGTGCATAACTGTTCATATTGTTACCAAAACTAGATCAGCTCTAAATGAAAAAAATGTGTAGTTAATAGCATTGAAATCTGCTAACAGAATAGATCTGAAGTATTAGTACCATACATACACACAACCATGCACCCACAGAAAGGTAACTGTATAAGGCAACTGAGAGGTTAATTAGCTCAACTGGTAATATATGTATCTAAACATCATGTGCACCTTCAATACATACAACTTTTATTTGTTAATGACAGCTCAAAGACATATAATGTGAGCTGCATATGTAAATTAAGGTTTTCTAGCAGACATTAAAAAATCAGTGCAAAGTGAAATTAATTGTAATAATGTAATTATGATAAAATATTTAATCATAATAAAATATGTCCAAATAGTATAATTTCAACAATAATTAACATTAAAAATTAATGAGATCCTGTTTTTTTGTTCTGCATTCAAAAGTCTTGTATGTATTTTATACTTAACAAAATCTTGACTTCGATGCTACATTTTTACCAGAAATATTGGATCTGTCTCTGGATTTTGTAAAATATTCGTTTGAAAAAATAAATTCACATATCCAAGTTGTTCCAAGCATATTCAAAAGTTTTCCAATAACTTATCCTTTTAAAAATTAAATTTAAATTAAATATTGAGTTCCTTTATTTCACTAACCACATTCACAAGCACTGAGTAACCACATATAACTACTGGATACCATATTCTACATCGTGCTAAATTAAAACTTGCTACTGACCTGTCATAAATTTATTATACTTAAAGGGGAACGGGATGTATCCTAAGGGTAGCCCTTAGGGGGATGTTAATTAACAGAATGGCCACTGTTAGAGTTGAAATGTCACACATTGTGTATCAAGTAATCAGGCAAGAACAGATACTCACATTTTGCTTTTTCAGGAAGCACCTCTGCTGTAGCCATGATGGGCAGTTAGGATGATCTTTTTTTGGAAGGGTGAGCTCCAAGTCCTTAAATACAGTCACATGAAGTAGTTCAGTCCTGATGAACATTTAGCTGTTTCTATCATCACTCATAAATAGATGAGTAATTAATGCTTCTATTCATTATTCTTCTGCTCTAAAACTTCCAGTGCTTTACTGGACAGGGATCTATAGTTTATGGAGTGCTTGTACACACGCTACCTCACTAGCTCCAAATAGTCCATGCTATGATTTGGAAAGGTTTAAATGTGTCCCTCACGGATTCGTGTGTTAGAAGCTTGGTCCTCTGGGAAGCGACGGTGGTATGGGATACTTAAGAACTGGGCCTAGTGTTAGGTCCCTAGGTCCCTGAGACATGTCATCAGAGTGACTGTGGCATTCCAGACTCTGGCTTCTTCTAAGAAGCACCTTCTTGATTTCACATGTACTCCTGACGTAACATGACACAGCTGACGGAGCCATCACCAGAGCTGGGCAAAGCCAAAACCGTGCCTCTGAACCTCCAAAACTGTGCCAAATAAATATCTTCACTTTTTATAATTAGTCTACCCTGTGTGTTTTGTTATAGTAATGAAAAATAAAGCAGCCTGGTAGGAACTACTGTCCCACATATGGCAGATGTGAAAACGAACTCAGAGAAGTAAAATAAAATATCAACATAACTAGCTAATATGGCACAGACAAAACTCACAACCAGAGATTGCAGTTTAAAACCCAAGCAAGCTCATCTGATTGCTCACAACTCTCCAGTTAATATTGAAGCCATAGCTGACATACACCTTACACACTCGTGCCTTTAAGCTTCGATTTATGTTAGGATTCTACACAAATGCCCTGTTCTCTCATCTACATTTAGTGTTATCGTACCTGTTCTTAAACCTGGGTCTAATCCCATCTCCATTATGCACCTAACTAGGACACAACATCAGCTACACTGATGCATAGTACTGTGCACTGACACGTCTTTATAACTAAAAGTGGGAATAATAAAACCCTTCAGGAACCCAAAGGAGCCTCTTGTCCTAAAACTTTCAGTATAACTAACTGTTCAGTTGGCTGAGTCAATCAACAAGCTATGAGTGAAATACTCAAGACCTGTTAAATGTTTGGGGGATTATTTCACTAATAATGCCAGCCAGCTTTGCCCTGTGAAAGTCATGACTCTGTAGCCACAGTCCGTTAGATAAAGAGCTGTAACACTTTTCCTCAGCATCACTCAGAGGCAAGAAAACTACTTCAGCTACAGTTTTAAAATAAATCTGAAATATCCAAAAAGATGAATGCTCAAATTGTCAGTATTATACCGTGGGCAACGGAACAGAACATGTACCTTGTCTGCCTAGTTCTGCAAATAAACCTGGATAAATTAAAATGCTGCACCTCCTTTAGCAATTAACAATCAGAACTCATATTCTGGTTTGGTTTAATTACTGTCTTTCCACATTTAAATATAAGAGGAAAATTAAACTGTTTTGTGCTCTGTCATTTTCTTGTTTGAATCTCCATAGAAATGGACTCTTCTCTGGGGATGTTGGTTCCTCCACCTTAATTCGGTGTGCCAGAAGTGTCATCCTACGTTAAACTGGATGGCAAGCAAGACATCCCACTGTCCTTTCACTGCAGGAAGCCAGCCAAGCATCATACAGGTGCTGTCATGGTAACACCCCTGCTAACTGAGGTGACGGGTGAAAACCCTGAGAAGGGAGATAGGAGTGAGGGAGGTCTTCTATTGGAATTACTCAGAGATAGGCACGGTGTCAGAGTCAGAAAATAGTGTGCTTCTCCACTTTAAGTCCCCCACAGACAGCTAGAAGACTGTGAGTTCCTCAAATACACTGGTCACTTAATAAATATGTATCTAGTGCCCGAGGCACACAAGCAGCTGGCCATCTATTTTGGAAGAAAAGGTAAAACATACTGTTATTTTAAGTAAAGATACAAACAACTATACACCAGATGTCATAAGAAAGTCTCAATCTTTCACTGTCCACTTCAGCAGCAGAAACTAAACTCTTTGCTCAAATTAATCACACTATTTAGTGCTCCCCAGACTAGGTGCATCCTCAACTCCATTAATATGCTGTGCTTCCATCTGCCTTCTTCTCTTTTCCTCTGAGATGAACAAATCTGACCCAATCAGGACTGGTATTCCATGCTGTAGTGTATGCCAGCTTGAATCCAGGGTGGGTTAGTTAATGCCTCTATTTTGAACAAGTACTGACATGTTCTAGAAAACACCTTCTGTAAAGGAAAAAAAAATTCTTTTTCTCCCTGCTCTAATCCCAATACCTGGGAAAAGACCCATCATGAAGAAGTATCTCCAAAAATATTTGTAGAATGAGTAATTATGGCAACAGCATGCTGGACAGGAATGCCCTGCCTGTTCACATTTGTCCTCTTTAGTGCATCTGTAAGTCCCTGTCTTCTCCAGTAGCTGTAACTCAAGGCTCTCCTGAACTGGGCTACAAGAATGCTAATGCTAATTCCATCTCGATGTGCATAAAGATGAACAGAAGTAGAAGTTATTTCCTACCTTAGCCCTTTAGCTTGAGCTTCTTAAAGTAGATGACTAAAAATGCTTATCATACCATAGTATCTACTTATGGTTTATATCTAGAAGTCCCCCAAGAGTCTTATGCATCCACAGGTGGAACTTTTGGAAGGTGGTTGGATTATAGGGCTCAAAACTGACTTGCTGTTAGGAGGTGGGGTCTGGTCAGAAGAGGCAGGTGACCAGTGGTGACCTGGAAGGCTCCTTCCTTCCTCACCCTCTACTCCTTTTCTCTGCTTCCTGACTGCTAAGCAGAGCAGCTCCTCTCTGCCACGCTGTTCTGCCATGGACCTAGCAAACGTGAACTAAAACATGAGCCAAATAAACCTCTTCTCCCTTATTTGGCAGTAGTTAGATATTTTGCCCCAGCAATGAGGGAACTAAGTCAACAGTCTAGTTTGGATCTTAAAAGTTCCCCCAAATCCCATGTGTTGAAAGTTGGGTCTCTAGCTTGATGCTATTGGGAGATGGTAGAACCTGTAATAGTTGGGGCCTAGTGGGAAGAAGTTAGGTCATTGGGGCTGTGCCCTCAAAGTGGATATTGAGACTCTGTCTCCTTCTTCTCTCTTTTTTTCTGGCCACCTACTTTGGTGTAGAGTATTCCTCTAAAAAGTGTTTCTACCATGATGTACTGTGTCATCAAAGATGCAAAATGATGGAGCCAAGCAACCATGGACTGAAACTTCTGAAACCATGAGCCAAAATAAACTTTTCCTCCTAAGAAGTGATCACCTCAGGTATTTTGTCATAATGACAGAAAGCTGGTTAACACAATATTCTTTATAATTAAGTACCTAGAGACAAAGAACTACACTATGTTATGTGATAGGATGCAGGGAAATGGGCCTTAGCCCGGGATCTTGAAGACAGTTTCAGTAGTTAATATAAGGGCAAATGAGAGCAAATCTTTATTTTTCTACTCTCCCTCTACCCAACCCTCCTACCTTCAGTTCCACTTATAATCCTCCCTACGTAGCTATCTCAGAAACTGTTCCTATCTCTACCCAATGCAGGAGGCTGTGCTTCTATCATATTCACTACATAAAGTCTTCAAAATATAGCTGCATCTCCCCACTTTGCCTTCCTCCTAGATACAATCACTTCATTCCTGGACCACTGCAATAGCCTTCTGAATGCTCTCTTAATTTCCGCTCTGACTCCAATTCATTCTTCATGCAGCAAGAGCATCTTTTAGTTCACATGATTTCCCTTCCAGGGCTTCTGCCAGGATTTGAAACAAAGCACAGCCTCTGCCCTGGGCTCTCTGCTCTCATGAAACTGAGTGAGTGTGGATGAGAAGCACAAGGCTGTCAATCCACAGCTCCATCCGGAACTGAGCTCAGGGGCTTTTCTTGACTTCTCTTGGCCTGAGTTTCTCAGGAACGTAATAAAATTGTGGGACAAAAAGACTCCTCTAAGTTCCCATCAGTTTTTATAACTCTTATTACTGCATTGATTTTGTATACTATCTTTTTAAAAATCCTAGAAATCAACAGTTTGGTCAAGAGTTTCTTCCTCTGTTCTGTCCTTCACTTTTTTTTTTTTTTTTCAGGCATCTCTGGAGCAGGAAACGAAGAAAAGCACTCCAAGCAAGGCTCTCCCCTCAAGTCCCTGCTTCAGCCTCCATCACCGCCTCTCAAATCTGACTTTCAGGCCTTGTCTGTGTTACCACTTCCATTCTGGGTTAAGGATGAGTCCCTTCCATTTTTTTCTTCTTCAAGTCAACAATGACCCTTATGTCAGTCATTTTCCACATTTGCTTCCTGAAAACTTCATTCTGACAAGTCTTCTGATGACCCTGACCAGACTAACAGATCTTATATCAACAAACAATAGGAGTAAGAAACAAGAAAGGAGAGTAGGTCAAGAAACCAAAACAGGACAAGTCCCACCTATGGGCAAAATGAAAGGGCCAATAATATATATCTAAAATGGATAAAAGCATGATAAACACAAGAATAGAAGATTGACAATTGCACAGTAAAATTTATGAACCAAATTAGAACCATAAAATGTGAGCAGGAAAGAAAATCCTTTATGAACAAGAATAGCAGGTAAGATGGGAACTCAGAGGCCACATGTCACAGTGGCAAGACTGGGGAAGAACACTCCTTTCTTGATATAGGCATGCCTTCTGAGTCTCTAACCTACTCATGGTAACAAGGAACTGGGAGGGAAAATAACATAACTGAGTCATTAGGACATTTCTCTCCCCAACCACAATCCATCAATATAGGTGCACTGTGGTGGCAGAAATACTGGATTTCAGTCCTAATCCTGTCATTATCAAAGTATATGATCTGGGACAAACCAATGAACCTCTGAGATCTATCTCTTTGACTAGAAAAAGGGATTTAAAATAAACAGCACCTTCAGCCTGTGTTTCAAATAGTTCTCGGCAGGCAAAGAGAACAACAGGTGAACATCTGGATTGTTCTGAAGGAAGCAAGTCTCAGAGCCCCTGATGTGCCCTTCA